CCTTGAGGGCATAGTACTTTCCTTTAAGATCACCATCAAGGACACCCAAAGCTGTGAAAACCGCAGGATAGATCACAACACAACTGCATCATTACAGAGTGGATGCTTCAATCACTCATTTCTGCCCACTCCTCTTGAACGACCAATCATGAATCATGTACATCCTATGAAAACAAGTGCCTAGACGAGCTCACCCTCAACGGACAGACCCTCGATGGCCCGTCTCTCCCCACGGCTGCAGTGAGGAGGGAGGCAGAAACCACGGATGCTCCTGCCAGTTCGCACTCTGGAGCTCAGAACATAGTTGGGGTCAAGGTCGTCTCCACCCTATTAAAAACACCACTAAATTAACAGCAGACTATTTTAAAATGTTAAAGCCTATTAGATGCACCAGACAGTGCGCGGTGTACCTGGAGGTTGTCTGGGTTCAGGTCAGTCTTGTGTTTGTCTGTGGGTTTGTATCCCCCATGGCGGTCCTCAATGATGGGGTCCAGGAGATCTTTGAACACTTCATACGTCTCCTCATCTCCAGCAACGCACCCCACCGTCATGATGAAAGGATGACCTGGAACACAAAAGATCAGCAGTACTTCAATATGCCGTGGTGGTGACAATACAAAGAATTTTCGGAAACTTTAACGCTAATGGCCCTCATGATTGTAAAGCGCTTTGGGTGTACAGCAAAATGCTTCATCATTCATTCATGGCAAGCAGATTGTCACAAGCAACAGCTTAATATAGCCACACGTCATGTTTATCACCACATGGTTGGTCTTACAGTAATCATGAGATTCAAGAACACACAATTCCTCTTTTGTTGGGCTTCACCAATATTACACCTTAGATTGTCGTTGCAACTTTCTCTCAGTTTTTGCAGAGTCAAATGCATGAGGGAAAATAAATGGTGCATAATAGGGTTGGGCCAATAAACGATGCCATAGTCCATAACCGATGGCTGACAGACATCACGATGTTGAGCACGGACAGACGAGCTCGACACATGCGCAGTATCACCTACTTGACTCGCACGGTCTCAACATTCACTCAGCACAAAGTCCCCCCCTCCCTCCCTCCTTCTCAATGTCATCATCCATCTCAATGTTTCACTGTAGACATCGTCCGATGTCAATTTGATGGACATCGCCTGCATCACATGCATTAGCCAGCAGGATTACAGCAGCAGGCATGAGGAAGCAGCACGGTTTGAAGGATGCAAATCTGAATGTAGAGGCAGAGTGCAATTAGGTTCAGTGCCTCCTCATTTTGCACGCATCAGGCCCAAGAATGCTTTGAATAGTCAATGCACGCTTTTTGTAAGCACTTAAATATCGGTGCAAAATCCCCATTCTCCATAGTGGAGATGCAGAATATTCAAGCTTATTTTTGTCCTGCTTTTAACATCTAATTACTAAGCTACACGCTTATCACACGGGCATGAATGCTGTCATTTAAAATGTCATCCATTACACATAAATGGTTTAATAACGTTTCTAGCAAAGCGTTCAGAGACCCACTGAATTGTCTATTATTAGCAAAGTGCGTCATTCCAGCACAGCCAGGAACCATGATTTTACTAGCTCAATTTATTTTTGTACAAGACCAGTCAGCTAGAAATAGATTCAAGCCCTTTCAACTTGAAAGTGCAACTTTTTAATTTACTTTACCAAGATGCAATTATTGGTTTTATAATCCGTAAAATCGCCAATTATATGTACAATATTAGAGTCTGAAAATGTGCATTTGTTCTTTATTCATGGTAGATTTGTGAAAACTTAGCGATTATAAATAAAGCTTGGTAGTTGGCTGCAGGTGGTATTAGGGGGAGGGACGTTCTTGTTCTAGACGGTCTCAACATTCACTCAGCACAAAGTCCCCCCCTCCCTCCCTCCTTCTCAATGTCATCATCCATCTCAATGTTTCACTGTAGACATCGTCCGATGTCAATTTGATGGACATCGCCTGCATCACATGCATTAGCCAGCAGGATTACAGCAGCAGGCATGAGGAAGCAGCACGGTTTGAAGGATGCAAATCTGAATGTAGAGGCAGAGTGCAATTAGGTTCAGTGCCTCCTCATTTTGCACGCATCAGGCCCAAGAATGCTTTGAATAGTCAATGCACGCTTTTTGTAAGCACTTAAATATCGGTGCAAAATCCCCATTCTCCATAGTGGAGATGCAGAATATTCAAGCTTATTTTTGTCCTGCTTTTAACATCTAATTACTAAGCTACACGCTTATCACACGGGCATGAATGCTGTCATTTAAAATGTCATCCATTACACATAAATGGTTTAATAACGTTTCTAGCAAAGCGTTCAGAGACCCACTGAATTGTCTATTATTAGCAAAGTGCTTCATTCCAGCACAGCCAGGAACCATGATTTTACTAGCTCAATTTATTTTTGTACAAGACCAGTCAGCTAGAAATAGATTCAAGCCATTTCAACTTGAAAGTGCAACTTTTTAATTTACTTTACCAAGATGCAATTATTGGTTTTATAATCCGTAAAATCGCCAATTATATGTACAATATTAGAGTCTGAAAATGTGCATTTGTTCTTTATTCATGGTAGATTTGTGAAAACTTAGCGATTATAAATAAAGCTTGGTAGTTGGCTGCAGGTGGTATTAGGGGGAGGGACGTTCTTGTTCTAGAGCGCATATGATTGGTCAAAAATAGAGTAGTGCAGGATGAGTCACATTTTTGGACACTTTCTGCTAAAAGTACATGTCTACTGACATTCAAATGTAAAGTAGCATTTAGAAGAGCTCAGAGCTAACACACATGGACTAAAAGCCGCAAAACTCAACTTTGCGAATCAAACCCTTGCATATTTGATCACACCCTGAAACACAGGTGCATTGCCATCTTGAGCATCCGGGACGTCACGTCACGTCACGTTACCTGGGTTGTCAACTCCGGTCTGAATGACGTCATCCACGGTAAAGCCGCTCGGGGTTTGTTTGTCCCGCAGGTTTGCGTACATCTCGAGCGTCAGCACCTTCGCCATGTGGTTGTTGTGCTGGCTGAGGTCGGGATACTCCTGCTCGGCGATGTAGTTCATCTTCAGCTGATTGTGAGTGTTACCGAAAGGCATGACTGCGTCTACCTGGTGCAGATATTTGCAAACAAGGACACGTTAAAGGCAAGTTCAAATCCGACTCAAAGCCAGCCCCTCAGCTGCATTAATGATGTAACAGCATTAAAGCGCATTTGTCACAACGGAGGAATCCGTTTCAGATCGCTTGAACGTCACGGCAACAAACGTGTTCCGTCACGCGCTGTAAATGCATGCGGATTACGCAGTGTCTAACGTGCATTATGAAGATTCATTTATTATTCTCTGAAGCATGCTGATGCGTAATGCGCAACGTCTCCAAAGACCTTGCTGAAAGGGAGGCTGACTGCAAGGTCGTTGCTGATGTTAGGGACACAAGCACCTTGTCATGCACGTATCTGCGATCTTTTGGCCAGCGTATCATTTAAAGCGTTTAAATGTCTCTGTATTGACATTACTAAGCTCGCGACACGTTTAAAGAGTTTAGGTAAACATAAACGGCGCATTGCAAATTGCCAACAGAGCTTAAATACGCGACTTCTGTTTGAATGCCGATGCATTCCTGAAAACACTTGAATCATTAATACACCTCACAAATGTATGCTTTTGTAAATTGATCTGGCAGTGTCATCAGATCATGTTCTCGGAATATTATCACAATAAAGGCTTGATTTAATGATCTCAAACAAAATCCATACCTTGTACTGATTTTCTTTGGGAAAGCGGAATTAATCCTTCCTAAAGTCCACCAGAACCCACACAAAGACTGCTAATGGTGTCCAGACGTAAGCGGCTTTGTTGGGGTTTTTATATCAAGCCCGAGCTCTCCTCTGATTGGACGCTATTTGAGTCCATTCATTCTATTGGACGGCGTCGCATCACATCCACAACATCCAGTATTTGCTTACATTGATCGCATGATGTTTTTCCTTGACGGCTCTGCTTGTCATGGTTGACAACAAAATTGAACAATGTGGAATTCGATCACATGCGTTTATCAGACTCTTGTCTTGCACCTTAACCAGATAAATTGTCTAACCTGTACTAAACAAGAGTAAGTCAGTAAGATTTTATATCTTTTTTATGAAGAGAATCAACTTATATTAGTTGATTATTTAATGCTTATCAGATTTGTATTTATTGATTTATTTTTTGATATTATTATTATTATAGTCTTCTTCACAGACCCCCTGGAGTACTTTGAGGGACCCCTTCGAAATCTATGACTTATTGTTCTGGCTGAATAATTTATGCGGCACTAAAGTCTTTCTATCAGTCTGTCTGTTTGTGTTTGTTTAGGCCTTAATATATATCACCCTAATGCACCATTACTTTGATGTAGTGTTGGAGTGGTTTTGTTTTCCCAGGAAATGAATTTCGGTTAGCATTTATTTCTGGTTTCATGTTGTCGTCCTTTAGATTGCCTTGTGAAACAAAACACTGTTTATGCAAGTGCTTCTTTTTACTGTCTCCTTTAAAGCAGTCTCTTTTGCTCTGTTACGTGATACATTCGGCAGTATCTATATACAAATGAATATGAATGAACAAAATGCTTCAGTCTCACTCAACTAAACCAAATCTTTCAGTAACATAATGTTCTGTTCAGTTCATTATGATTTTAATTGTTTTTTACATTCACTATGGTCTTTGTTCCTAGGCAATATTAACACTAATCAGACCTTTAATGCTGAGAATTGATGTTCATTCTGGTGTCCAGAAATGTAACAATCGTATGTCTGCTACTTCACCTGTTCACTGAATGTACTCTCTTTACTTTTGGTATTTTGTATTTAACAAATATAATTACTCCTATAATTCTTTCAAAAATGTCTCTTACTGACCCCACACTTTGTTATCTGCCGTATAGCTGTAGTATCGTGTAAGAATTTTGCATGAATTTGTTACCAGAATTTGGACCTTTGCATCTTGTTTCAGACAGACCTCCGGTCTTCTCTATATATTGCTAATGAGAACCTTCTGGATTTCCTGGATTTAAGAGACCACCTGCTATGAAGGAAATGATATACTGCTCCTGTAAGTGTGAGGTTGTTGCCTTGCCGTTGTGAGTCTGAGCTATGTTTTTACTAGAAACACAGCTTTAACTATAGTCTCCTGTGTACAGTAAGCTCACCTAGGAGCTTAACTGTGGGCTCATGGAGAGACCTCCATGCTGAGAAGATAATGTCATCTCCACTCTGCTTGACTTCTAGTGTAGTTCAATGCTGTTTGCGTTGCTTCTACCTCCTGCTTTGTCAGAAATCACACAACATATTGCAGTTTGTTTCATGTTAACCTGTATCTTTCTGTTTCTCTCTAGTATCCCAGAAAGCCCAGCCTGACCACACCCTTGTTTGTGATTGATTGACTGTCTCATTGAAGGTACAACACATATTTTGCATGATGTTTAGTGTTCAACTTAGCATTAGTATTAGCATAACAACTGGTATGCTGGTCAGCAAAGGCAGAGTTTTCACTTTGAAATATTCTTTTAAATATTTTACAAATTCTTTTACAAAAAATGTTCGATTTGATAAAGAGAGAACTCATCTCTGAATAAAACCTGAGTCTGCATCTGATGAGTGTTCATGATGGCGGTGTTTTCCCCCTCAACCCTGTAGACTGTTTTTTTTTCTCCCCGGTTCAGGGAGTGCAACGTAGTGTGCACCAATCACATTTTGACAGGGTGAGACAAACGCTGATGTCATAGAGGGTCTAAGGCAGAATATTTAGCCTTTAGCTCGCTCGTTTTTATAGAAACAAAGCATTGGGTAAAATACTGATGGACGAAAAACAACACTGCATGTATGCTAAAGCAGAACAAAAGAGCAGCTATAACAGCATGTCGTGCTAATTGTCACCTTGAGAAGCTCACAAAGCACTACTAGAATAATGAAGTCCTTTTCTCAGATCATTTTATCTTACACAGAAGGCTAACAGCCTACAAAGTCTCTCCCTATAGCTGTGTTTTCTGTCAAGCCCTCCTGACAGGGAGCTGTCAAAATCACCCCTTCTCTCTCTTCAAATGTCTCATTTGCATCGCTCTTAAAAGCATTTAATCCTTTCTTTCTCCCCTCCTCCTCCTCAATTACCTCTCTGAAGCTCTGTGTAGAGGCCAAATCAGCACTATTTAATGAACGCAGACAGGAAACCAAAAATGATTCAAATGTATTCAAATCTGTTACTCGTTCAAAACTCTTTTGGAAGTTGATTTTTAATATAATCACACCTCAGTGCTTAGCTTATGTACACTACCATTCAAAAGTTTGGGATCAGTAAGATTTTTATTTTAAAAGAAATTAATACTTTCATACAGCAAGAACACATTAAAGCCATTTGTTACAAAATATGTTTTTGGAACTTTCTATTCATCAAAGAATCCTGAAAAAAAAGTAATAATAATAATAAATGTTTCTTGAGCACTAAATTAGCAAATTCGAAAGATTACCAAAGGATACTGAAGAGTAAGTAAAATTCAGTTTTGCCATTGCAGGAATAAATTACATTTTAAAATACAGCTATTTGAAAATTGTAATATTTTACAATATAAATTTTTACTGTGTTTTTGATCAAACAAACAGCCTTGTTGAGTGTAAGGGATTTTTTCATAAACATTAAAACATCCAACTTTTGCATGCAATATGGAGGTTTGTTGGATAAAGTTGAAAATATTTAATGATCTTCATTTAATTTGAACAGTATATTAATAAGCATTTCTGGAATGTTAAATGTCTGTCAAAGGCAATTTTGCATAATTTTTGCATATACACCACCAGGACTGATTAAATTCACAGAAGTGAGATAAGTCAGCGTAGCACATCATATATTACATATCGCCTTCAAATGATATGTTCAAACCATTTCTATCTGGCCTGCCTCAGAATGCTCATGTGTGCAGTGACATTGAGCTGAAGGTCAACAGGATTCCTCAGCTTGGCTGTTTTCCATGCTTTCGGTTGATGCATCCCAGCCAGGTAGATTAAAGATATATGTTGCAGCTAATCTGCCTTTAAAAAACCCTGATTACATTGCTTTCTATTGACTTACACTTACATTGACCAGTCGGCAGCCATCTGTTCTCTATTGCCCAATCCAACTGCACCACTCAGATAGTTTTTGAACCAATGAGCATTGCGTCTATAAAAGTCCCTGAATGTAGACACAAGGGTGTTTGCAGCATTAAAATGTTTGAAAAATTGCACTGGAATGAATAGAAAGCTCCTTCATATCATAGTTATTAGTCACATTAATTTGAGTAGAGCACTTTTAGGGACTTCTGTTAAACTGAACTACTTCACAATAAAAATACATTGTATATGGAATAATAAATAGCTAAGATAATGAAAATATGCAGAACTAGTGCATGACATAATGTAATACTGGAAGACAACTGTACAACCATGGCAGATTGCCCAAGTCTTTCGAGTAAAATGGCAAGCGCTATTGTATGCATCAGCTTGGCGCAACCAGTTTTCCAGCTCCTCCATTCAGTGCCCAGTAAAAATTGGCTTCGCCTTTGCTCTTGACCTATTGTGATCACAGAGGCTGGCAGTGATAGAGGCCATTTAAATTTTAACCAGCCAAATGAATTTAGGTCAGCATCGGCTTTCATAAGAGCTTAATTATCTTGAATAATAAATCTAGACTGCTGTCCCTCCTGCTGTGACAGAGCCCATCCATGAGTGGAGAGCCTGCCCTTCAGTCGCTGCGCCAAACAACAGTGTATTCAGCTGAGAGACTGAAGCTGGACAAGAGCACACTGTAGAGTTAAGCACTAAACTTTCTCATGGGGGTTGTTTCAAAACTGTAGGTATATGGTATGGCTGTTCAAAGGCTTTACATGATGGTTAACACACATGTTGGTGTGATCTTGAAGGAATATTCATGGTTATAAACAAGTTAAGCTCTACTGAGCGTATTTAAATGTTAGGAATAGAAGAATAACAAAAGATAAAGTCATATTATGACAAAGTCGAAAATTAGACTTTTTATCTCAGAATTTTGACAATTTTTTCATGATGAAATCATGATCATTTTTGACATAATTTCTATATTTAATCTCATATTTATTTGTTGTCGTAGAACTTTGTAATAATCATAACTTATACGTTTGACTTAGTATCTAATAATTTTGACTTATGTCGTAATTATGATTTATTTAGTCATTATTTAGTATACGTTTAGCTCATAATTGTAACTTTGCGTCTCATAATTTGTCATAATTATGATTTTTTTTTAAATCATAATTTTTCATTTTTATCTCGTAATTATGACTTTTATTTGACATTTTATGATTTTCTTTTCATAATTTTGACTTTTTATCTTATAATTAACTCTATTTTGACTGTTTTTTGTGCTCTTTATTTAGACTAATTTGTGCATCCCTGGTGCAAAGTTAAAAAAAAAATACTGTTAGTTTGTTTACAGCTAAAAATTTTAAAGATGAGAAACCTGAAATATTCCTTGTAGATGGGACTGATTAAAGCACTGTGCAACAACATGCTTTGCTGGGTGCTGTCTCTTTAGTACCAGACTGGCATATTAAACCATTAAGTACTCAGAACCCCTCTTATAATGGATCTCAAGTGAATGTAACACTTTCAGTCTTTGAGAGGGATTACGCTTAGTGCTTGTGAAGAGCTCTGCAGCAAAAGTAACCTGTTCCCGAGTCCATAACGTGTACGTTGTTGTTTAATGTAGTGCACTTAGCTGACTCACCGAAAAACAGCTCTCAGCTGCAGATGGGATGGACCATTCAACAGACACACTGCATTACATAACACACTCACATATTTTCTAATTCACTGTCATTACACACACACATACACACGCTCTGTTTCTCACTGAGTCACACAACATGCAACGTCACAGTGATGTGCATGGGCTATGCAGCAGGATTGGTGTGTGTATCAGAGAATATAATGTCTGTAGCAAATTTATACACAGAGGAAGGGGAACAATCGATCACACTGATCGTGTTTTGCTGTGATATGTGAAATATTATCTAAATTTCAGAAGGAGGTGAGTGGGTGGGGTCTTTGTCTCTCTGTCGTCTGCTGGTGTCTGTGCTGGTCACGTGTAGAGGCATGCATAAGATGCTGCATATATATCATATATCATATATAGCATATATATCATATATCATATACAGCAGACCTCATCTCAAGCTGTGAATGTTTTGGAACAATCTACATTTTGTGTGTGACTGTTCAGTATTGGTTGAAATAGTTTTTTGTTGTTGGAATTCTAATGAATGCCTTGAAGTTGGCTGGAACATCGTTGTTTTTAAAGAAGTAAAGTTAGTGTTACTTTTTTGTTGACATTTCATTTTTTTTGTAATGTTCAGATTTTTTATTATTTAAATTGTTATTTTGAATTTATATTGTTATTGTAAATGCTTTTTTGCTGTCATCTAACACTTAATAAAAAATAAATTGGTAACACTTAACAACAAAGTCTGATTAGCATTAACATTAACAATGAGCATTTGTTGCAGTGTTTTTAAATCTAGGTTAATGTAATTTAATAAATATACAACTGTTCATTGATAGTTCATATTAGCTCAGGTCCATTAAATAATATTAACAATAATAATAAAAGTAACTTTTGATTTTTAATAATGTATTAGTAAATGTAAAAAAAAAATTCAAAAATAACTAGGATTAATAAATACTTTCGAAGAATTTAAATTTTTAGTTGACATTAACCAATGTTATTAACTAATGTTAACAAAACTTATTATAATGTGTCACTAATATATCTTTACAAAAATAAACATTTAATAGCACCATTAAATGTAATCTTTATCCAATCTCAAAATGAGTATTATACTGTACATTATAATGTTGTGATGTCTAAATTCACTTGTAACATTTAAACAATAATTGATTTTAACAATTTGATGTTGTTATTATTATTATTTAATTAATTGAGAAAAATAGTATAGAATTTTAATTTTTGCAATTTATCAGATTATTAACATGAAAATAATTATGAGTTTATCTATTCTGTTCTGTTCTATAATGATTGTAATGTTTTCATTCTGGCGTTTTTCAGTTCACTCATCATTGTGATGGAACATGGCCTCTGTATTTCTCTCGTCTCTCTCTTTCCCCCTCCTCCAGCTCCAGTGGTTTTGTCTAATCTGGATTGGGTGAAAGTGGAAAGGCTCATTTATCCTGTGATGCATTGTTAAACACTCTCTACAGCAGTGTTTATGCGTTCAGCTCCTGTTCCCCAAAACTACTTATTAGAGACAATAACGGAGAGGGAAAAACCCAGTCACCTTCATCTGTTTGCTCCTCATTTGGTTTGCCCTGTGGCCGTCTCGTCCCGTCAAGACTGCAGAGTTATTTTTCCTCCGTTCTCTGCGCTGTAATTGATTTCTGGGCTAGGAGACAAAATTGGACCTTGTGCCTGTGGCCTACATGTCATTGTAGTTCTCGCTGTCTCCTGCAGACGAGCTATCATTAGACCAGTGCAGAATAGCTCTCTCCTCCCGTTTTACACCTGCTGGACGTTCATTCACAGACTCCCATTTGCATATGAATGCCATGGCTACTGTATTAATGAAACATTGCCTCCATTGTTGCCATGAGAACAAAAGTGGCGATGATGTCATGCCGCTCCTTTCACCTCTCCACGCTGGAAGATTAGCTGAGAGGACACAGCAGGCTCATGGAGTAGCTCATTATGAGTGAAGGCATGATTCCCAGCCTCTGCACAGTCTGGATGCCCACGCAGTCTCCCTGCCAACCATTCAGCATAATGGTGGAAAACGGCACATTAAACTGATTCATTTCATTGTTCAAAAGGTCTTGAAAAGGCATGCGATATAGAATCTTTCTTGCTTGGTTGACCTGTTTAGTGCACTGCTTAGATGAATTCATGTCTGTATGAGTTTTCTTACAGTTGCAAAAGACTGAAATGTTGTTGGAGGTTGCAAATGAGAGGCAAGTAGGGATGCACAATAGATTGGAAGCAAATTGGTTATTGGCTGATATTAGAGGTTCGTATTATTGTTTTATTTTTTATTTTAAAGGGGCCATATGATGTGATTTCAAGTGTTCATTTCTCTTTGGAGTGTTACAAGCTGTTCGTGAATTGATAAGATCCCTAAAGTTGCAAAGACTAAAGTCTCAAACCCAAAGAGATGCAGCATCATGACCCCTTTAATTTAATTTTATTTTATTGGTTGTTGAATCTATATTTAAATTTTCATGTCTGTTTAAACTATTTTTACATTTAGATGACTTTTGTTGCCATCTAACACTCACTTAAATTAGTTTCAAAAATGAATCATTTAATAACACTGTTAAATGTAATCTTTAGCAAATCTCAAAAAGAATATCTATAAAGAATATATATATTATAATATATTCATACTGTATATTATAATGTTGTGAAAAACACTGATTTTAGTATACAGTGTTTTATTTTAAATGTATTTACATGAAACCCTGGAGGTTTGTAAGGGCATTCGTGAGTTGATGCAAAGCTAATAATCAACAAATTCAAATGAAAAATTCAAAAAGGATAAACATTGAAAATATACATGTACATCATTTTCAACATTTGTGAGCACAGAAGTTTACAGAATTGTACCAATATTCAAAAAAAAAAAAAGCTCAAGGATGTTGAATGTTTGAAAGTGAAGAATTTAAGACAAACATTAGTATTGTGAATGGTTAAATAAATTATCATTCATATGAAATATATTTTTTTTTACTTTACAGTACAATTGTGCAGTACAATATATTTCTGTCTTCATTTTTTATAATTAGTTAAAAAATGAAATAATAATAATCATTTCCTTTAATGTTTTTTAATAAAAACATTACCAAAAAAAAAACACTTACTAAAAATATTACATATTTTTCATTTTACTGGCATATAATCTTGTCATTATCTGTCATCAGAGAACAGTGAATATCAGAATGTGTTGTTAATTTTAAAAAGTTCGGGACTGATTTAGACTGAGTAGTACTGTATGTTAATAATGGCCAATTATCAGTTACTGACCAGACATTAAGTATAATTATCAGACTGAATTTTGATATTGGTGCATTTCTAGATGCAGAAAACTGGCTTTACACATCTCTGGGGTTTTGGGCTGTATTTCTTCCACATCAATGAATGTGTAGTGTAAAGCTTGCCTTTATCTCTTACTTATTCTGTCATTCTCCCCACTCTCCTCTCTCACCCCATCATGCAGTGAATTTCACATCCATAAGAGTGTTATATAATCATGTTTAATGCCAGTGTCCTTCATCTCTGTATACTGATCGAGCTCAGAGCTGCTCAGAGCTCTTTTCCAAGCAACCAACCCAATGCTAAAATGCTAACAGCAGATAATCTGCCCCAAAAATGTTTATGATACACTGGTCTACATAATCTATTAAAAAGATTAAAAAGGTCATTCTTGATGCCCTAAAGTGATTTTCTGTGTATCTTTTGAAGGGTGTGACAATATGTCCCCAACATCACCTCCCCCCCCAATTCTCCACCACCCCAGTTTCATTCCCTTCATGTCTTCAATTCATCTCTTAGTGTAAACAACTTCTAGGACATTTATTACCCAGAATCCATCACTGTCAGAAGCATCCCCCTCCTACAAATCCTCCTATTAAAAGCACAACATGATTGGCTCTCCTGTGTACCTTCATTTATTTTCACAGCCTGTGTGAATGATGTATCTTGTCTCCGTGAAAATCTAATTAAAACCTACAAGTTGACTTAAACTACTGTTCAAAAGTTTGGGGTCAGCAAGTCTCTTATGCTAAAAAAAATAGTGTAAAAAATCTAATAAAAAATACAGTAAAAACTGTAATATTCAGAAATATTATTACAGTTTAAAATAACTGTTTTCTATTTTAATTTATTTTAAAATGTAATTAATTCCTATAGTGGCTTTACCCCAGTCTTACTCAGAGTCACATGATCCTTCAGAAATCATTCTAATATGCTCATCCTAAAAGTCTTAAATAACATTCTAAATATCTTTACAATCACTTTTGATCAATTTAATGCATCCTAGATTTTTTAAAAAGTATTAATTTAAAAAAAAAAATGAACTGACCCCAGACTTTTAAAATACTTTTTATTCAAAATAGTAGTTTTTTTTTATTGACCTAAACTTCTCATATTGGAGTTATGCCTGCATATCCTTTAAAATGGATTCTTCTGAAAAATAAATAAAAATAATCTGTGTTCAGATGGTTTCAATTGGCCCTTTTATTTAACAGCCACACTTAACTTTTCATCCCAGCCAACTTCACCATGGCCTAATTCATTGTAATGCAGCATCTTGATGGGGTTATGATCATGATTTATATTTAAGTAAATGGGCATCTATTCAAACAGTGTTGATCAAGTGTAATTGTTTAGCTTGGCACCTGCCTTTAGTTTTCAGAGACATCTGGAGGTCCTGCTGCCCCTTTTGGCATTGCTTAACACGGGAACACTACTGTGGCTTTCATACTCACTGTGTGACAATGCTGTTCTATGTTTTTCTCAAAGCAAGTTGCTCATCAAACCTCTCTCATCTGACACCTGTGACTACCACCGAGCCATGGGAAATGCAGAGGATTTCAAAGCACCGTTGACAAGATGCATTCACAAAGACTTGCTAAAGTGTTTCAGGGACATGGAGAGCAATTGTCTGCAGACTGTAATTATCCTCTCGCATGATAGTTTGGTCTTGCCTGGTCTCAGCTGTTTGGTGCTTGTGCTCAAACCTACACACTTTCACCTCTCTCTCTGGATAAAAGGCCACGAGGATGGAGGGAACTGAGGAACTGGGACAGAGGAGGGGAGGTTGCAGCCCACCTGTCTGAAAGATTGAGTGTCTTTGCTCATTTTCCACCTACAAGTGCTCTCACAGTTTAAACTGCTTTGCTGCATTACATACTGTGTGTAGTGCATTACAGCAGTGTAAAAATGTAATCCGTAAAGTAACAGAAAAAGTACTGGCAGCTCATTACCGGGACATTATCCATTAATTTTACAGACATTTCTGTTAACTCTAAAACACAATGCAATGCTTTGTTGCCTATTGCTTACATAGGCGGCTGTCTTCAAGACACCAACAGGGTAAAAACATTGATCCAAGGAAATATCAAACAATCATAAATGTGTTTGCCAATATGGGGAAAAAAATGTTTTCAGATGTATTTTAAAATATATTTCAAAATATATACAAACAGTAACCAAATGCTAGCATATATATTTTGTTCTTTTAGTATTTTTATATGGATTATAGTATTTATATAGTGTGTGTATATATATATATATATGTGTGTGTGTGTGTGTGTTTCTATATAGCTTTATTTTTTATTCATATTTTTTTTGTATTGTTAGTAATTTTAGGGTTAGACATTGGGGTTAGGATTAGGCTTGAATTTATTTATCTTAAACTTATTTAGTTTTTAAGAAAACATTTAAAATGTTCATTTTAGTTTTTTATCTAAAATGTATAGTTTGTTTTATTTCAGCTTTATTTCAGTTACCAAAAATGATTTAAAAAAATTGTTAGAAATAATAACACTGATTTTGATAAATGTATTTTTGATACGTTTAGTTACTTATTCCTCATATATTTATATTGACCACAATATTTATAAATATTCTTCTGCTGTTCACAAAGTATATTTAGCATGTATTTGAAATATTTTGGCTATATATATACAGTATGTATATATATATATATATATATATATATATATATATATATATATATATATATATATATATATAATCTGGAACACTATACGCAGCTCACGCACCATGCTAAATTTTGCTGATTGCATTAAGCACAGTTTCCAATAGAGTTTGACATTAGCATGTTGCTAGGCTAATTGCATTATTTAAAGGGGTCCTTTAAATAATGTACTTTGTTAAACTCTCCATTGTAATTAGATTTAACTGTTTTTTTATCAATACTTTTTAGTAATGAATTAAATTAGGCCCTATTAGTCTACATTTCTAATGACTCTGTCCATCATCTTGGATACTTTTGTCATTGAGCATGTCCTAAAATGTTCATTAGGTTTTGGAACCGAGCTAAAGGCTCTCTTTTTTCATTCAGTTTTATGTCTGATAGCTCCATTTGCTGAATGGGTTGAGGCACTGAAGCACACAGAAGGCTTTTTTCTTCAGAGCAGAAGTTAGAAACAGCAATTAGGCACAGTCTGCCTTGAGTTATGAATGATTTAACATCTCATCTACTAGGCTGCATGTGGGATTTGTACATTAAGAGTGTCACTGTCCACTCATGCCTTTTCCAAGTGCCTTTGAGACTTCTCCTTCTGTGATGTTTTCCTCTCCTTGTGAATGTGCGAAGCTGATAAGGTGAGTGCATGTGTGTGAATCTTTGTGTGTGTTTAAAACATAGGAGGAGGAGCCACTGCAGTTAATGCTGCAGTGCTGCAGTCTCCCATGATGCACCTGGGCATCTCTCACTCCTGTTAGGACTTTTATTAACTTGTCCTTTATCCTCTTGTCCTTTCTTCAAACAGTTGTTCTGTCACTCACACACACTGTTCCACTGCAGATGAAGGAAGATGCTGGTTGCTGTAAGATGTCCTTATATAACCTTGCCACCAAGCTGGTTAATATGACATGCTTTGGAAATTGTTTAGAAAGTATATGTTCATATAAGAATCTTAAAATGTATGTTATGCTAACATTTCACTCAGTGCTCAAAAATGTATTTATTTGGTGCAGGAGTATATATTAAAGTATTGCACATTTTTTATATATATATATATATATATATATACATTTAAATAATGTACTTTGTTAAACTCTCCATTGTAATTAGATTTAACTGTTTTTTTATCAATACTTTTTAGTAATGAATTAAATTAGGCCCTATTAGTCTACATTTCTAATGACTCTGTCCATCATCTTGGATAGTTTTGTTTTGTCATTGAGCATGTCCTAAAATGTTCATTAGGTTTTGGAACCGAGCTAAAGGCTCTCTTTTTTCATTCAGTTTTATGTCTGATAGCTCAATTTGCTGAATGGGTTGAGGCACTGAAGCACACAGAAGGCTTTTTTCTTCAGAGCAGAAGTTAGAAACAGCAATTAGGCACAGTCTGCCTTGAGTTATGAATGATTTAACATCTCATCTACTAGGCTGCATGTGGGATTTGTACATTAAGAGTGTCACTGTCCACTCATGCCTTTTCCAAGTGCCTTTGAGACTTCTCCTTCTGTGATGTTTTCCTCTCCTTGTGAATGTGCGAAGCTGATAAGGTGAGTGCATGTGTGTGAATCTTTGTGTGTGTGTATGTGTGTGTTTAAAACATAGGAGGAGGAGCCACTGCAGTTAATGCTGCAGTGCTGCAGTCTCCCATGATGCACCTGGGCATCTCTCACTCCTGTTAGGACTTTTATTAACTTGTCCTTTCTTCAAACAGTTGTTCTGTCACTCACACACACTGTTCCACTGCAGATGAAGGAAGATGCTGGTTGCTGTAAGATGTCCTTATATAACCTTGCCACCAAGCTGGTTAATATGACATGCTTTGGAAATTGTTTAGAAAGTATATGTTCATATAAGAATCTTAAAATGTATGTTATGCTAACATTTCACTCAGTGCTCAAAAATTTATTATATTGTCCTATCATAACAAACCATACATCAATAGAAAGCTTATTTATTCAGCTTTGTGTATAATATATATGAGATTTATGTATAAATCTCAATTTCCAAAAATTGAGCCTTAAGACTGGTTTTGTGGTCCAGGGTCACACACACACATATACAGTGGGTACGGAAAGTATTCAGACCCCAAGGGGGTCTGAATACTTTCCGTACCCACTGTATATATATATATATATAAATATATATCACAAACAAAATGTACCTTTTTATTTTTAAGTATAAATCAACCATGCATTTTAGCAATCTTACAAAATATTTATAATAAAATAATATACGTAACATAAAGCCAGGAAAAAAATATCTGTGCTTACAAATGTTTGAAACAGTGTTTACAAAAATGCAGTAACATCTATCACATAACATCTATCTATTTATCAATTTATTTATTTATTTATAAGTATAAATTAAGCCTGTGTACATTTTAGCAATATAAAATAACCAATTAAAATAATATACATAATATGATAATATATAAACAATTCATAAATGATATGTATATAAATAAATAAATAGCAACTTATAACACAAGGCCCGATGTATGCTATGAGGATGTTAGGGGTGTTCAGAAAATCTGTCTGAAAACAGCTGTTTTTTATTTCCATTTGATGAGATTAGTTGTGCAGAAATGATACACTTCACGTTAAAAATAAAAGAGTGATTAACCACAATTCTCAGGATATAGGCAGTGGAAAGCTTTTTCCAGTCTGAATAGTTCAGGGTCAAAACAACCTTGTAACATTCAAAAGAGGCACTGGACACAAGTCAGCATTAAAGAGGAACGGAGAGAGTGAAAGAGGAGACATGGTGTCATTTTACTTCTGCTATACCTTTTCCTGCATTACTCCATTTTATCAGTCTCATCTCTGATGCATGGCTTGGTCTAAGGCCATTCACTACCAGCCGTGGCACTCTGATTACATTAAAGTTTAATAGCAGTGACAAGCAAGAGAAGTACTGCAGCCACTATCCCGTTACACATATAAACCCTCCTCCAGCTTCCCCTTCTGCGTGTCTTCTTCATCAACTCACATCTGCTCTACATCTTTTGCTCTGTCTTATATTCTCTCCCTATTTGCATTTTCAGGTGATCTATTCCTTTAAAGGGAAATTCTGTCCTTATTTACTCACCCTTATGTTGTTCCAAATCTGTATGGATTTCTATCTTCTGCTGAACACCAAAGAAGATATTTGGAAGAATGTTGATAACCTAACAGTTTTGGTTCCCAGTGACTTCTTTTGTCTTTTTTGTCCATACAGTGTAAGTCAAAGGGAACTGAAACTATCTGGTTACCAACATATCTTTGTTTGTGTTCATGAAGACAGAATGTCATCATGAGGTTCGGAATTGTTTTTTTTGGGTGTACACAGGTGTAAAATAACCCACAAAAGCATAGGTGGCATTACACAGCAGCTGATATTACATTAAAGGTATGTTCATAACTCCTGGCAAATCTACCACCTAAAGCTTGAATCCTTAGCCTCAAAAAGATTCTTTTGAATTGTGTTGCACAAATGAGCACAGGAAATAACCTTAACAAGACATTATCTTCTTTGACCTTCCTTTCATTTAACATCTTCAAATACCAAGTGTATTTAAGGATAAAGGTTAGATTCAATCCTGTGACAATTCAGCCAGTTCTTACGGTGACGTTGGAGGAGAGACAAGTTTGTTAATAGGCTGTAGTTGATAGTGTAACTGAATTGCTGTCAGGTTGCGGCAGGACTCTGAGAGTCATTGCAGCACATTGTGGTCTCACTGCAGCACTGCAAGGCTCATTAATTCATGAGGAAACAGCCTCAGCAGCAAAATGGAGGCATGTGGATGCAGCAGCACATCCAGAGCGGGAGGGGTGTGTGCTCCACACTGCCTTACCTCAGTCAAAGGGTCACCCGCCGCTCTGAATTTTTACCTTCTGAACAGGAATGGCTTGGGCTCAGAGGAGTTTCACTGACCTTGTCAAAACAGATTGTGATAATATTGTTAGTACAGCATATGTGTATGCTTGTGTATGTATGTGTGTGTGTGTTTTTAAAATACTACATAAAATGTCTTTTGTATTGTACATTTTATGTCAAAGTATACGTTTCTATTTTTATATTTCCTGTATTTTCTGGTGTTGGGGGAGGGACAGTCTCATTGTAGAGGGCATCTGATTGGGCAAAAATCTGTGTATTACAGGATGAGGCATTAATATGTTTTTCCCCCAGAAGAAAAATACTATACATTTCATATTACATGTGTTTATTCAATACAAGTGAATACTGT